CAAATACATTCTTATGGTGAGAAAGATAGTTTATAGCATGAAGAATGAGATAACTCTTGTGTTCCAGGCTTGTATGATGTATACAATGAAAAACCACCCTGATTCTCATTTGATAGACATGGAAACTAAGGCTCATGCAGCTGAAATACTTTTTTTTCCTCATCAAATCTAATGCTAGTGAGTAGGTAGATTAAATGAGGATTTGAACCCAGGTATGTATTATTCCAAACGAATCATTTCCCTTCATTGCTGACAATAGATTGTGTTTACCATTTCAGTTGTGCAGGGGTATGTGGAAACCTGAAAACATGCACTTGAATGTCGAGTGGTAGTTTTCATCATTTTGCATCTTTAGTAGTGACCAGATTTTTTTAAAACATGTTTTTAAAAGTGTAAGGCAGTGGTTGTTTAATGTAAATATCTGTCTTATCATGAGTTCACTTATTTGGTTTAGACAGAGAAGTTATAAAAATAATTTTAAACCTTAATAAATCAGACTCAGATCAGGACAGCAAATTGTGGCCTATTGGTCCATAATGGAAATACACCATTGTAAGAGCATTGTAGTTGCCACAGAGATTGTATGGTTTCTAAAGCTTAATATACTTAATATCTGGCGCCTTTACAGGAAAAGTTTGCTGATACCTGATCTCAATATTGAAACCTCAGATCTTAGAAAAAGCACAAAAGAACAACCTCACTAACAGCAAAGTGTCTTTATTCCTAAAAAGCCTGGCATCAGTATCCCATAATCATTGTGCACACTTTTAGACTCAACTTTGGAAATACTCAACTACCTATAAACCAAAATTGGAATCTCTGGGTGGAACAAATGGTTTGGCTGATAACCTAAAGGTTGGAGAGGTTCCAGTTCATCCAGAGGTACCTCGAAAGAAAGGCTCAGTGATCTACTTCTTAAAAAATCAGCCAATGAATTCCCTGTGGAGCATGCCATGTGTCAGAATCGAATCCATGGTAACTACTGTTTTTTAATAGCCCTAAATTACTGTTGTGTTGTGCATAGGGTTGCTATGAGTAGGAATCAAGTTGACAGCACCTAACAGCAGCCACTAATTACAGGGACAGTCTGCCCAGAGAAAAAGTGCTCATAAAGTGGTAATTCAAAAACCTATCTATCCTCCCTTAGTTGATGACTTGCCATTAACTGGGTGTTTCACTTACACACTCATGACCCTTGTTTACTATTAGTAAAATGCTGATTTAAACTACACACATCAGAGGTGCAATTTTAGTGTTTTGTGTTCTCTTCTTATTTCAGTAAATTACACAACCCAATGATTGATTATGCCAGTTTTGTATGGATACACTGCTTGCTAACTTCTTGATGTCTTTATTGTCTTGATGCAGTGTTTTGATGGTTGTAGTTTGTGTTTTGTGTTTGCCTGTTTCTTTGGTTTTCTAAATATTTTGTTGTTGTTGAGAATATGCACAACGACGCATACACCAGTTTGATGAATTTTACGTGTACAATTTGGTGATAATGATTGTGTTCTTTGAGTTGTGCAACCATTCTCAGCCTTCTTCCCCGAGTTGTTCCTGTTCTGTGAGTGCAAACTCACTGACTCCTATGGTTCCAGCTAATCTTTTGAGTTGCTGTTGTCAATTTGATTCCATATGGATAGTTATGAAAAGAGCATTACATTCAAAACAATTTTTTTTTTAACTAGTTAAGTGAAACTATTGTCTAGTTTTAAGAAGACATAAGTGAATATTTTTGGTTTAAGGTTAAAAGATTCTCTCAAAGCAGTAGTTTCATGGATACAGCCAGCCTCTTATCACTGTTGTTTTTAAGTCTCGTTGAGTCAGTTCTGACTCTTAGCAACCCTGTGTAGGGTTTCCAAGTTGAAACAACTGATAGATTTGAACTGCTGACCGTGTGATTTGCAGTTCAGTGCTGATCCACAGTGCACCACAGAAAGTCTGGAGTCTATGAGAATTTGAAAATCTGTTCTCCATCTTCCCCCTGGGTGGCTTGGTTTTTAACATGATCTAGGAGCTCTGGTAGTGTAGTGGTTACGAATCGGGCAGCTAACCTCAAAGTCAGCAGTTTGAAACCACCAACTGTTCTGCGGGAGAAAGATGAGGCTTTCTACTCCTGTAAAGATTTACAGCCTCAGAAACCCTATACAGGGTCGCTATGAGTCAGAATTGATTTCATGGCACATAACCACCACCACCATGTGGATAACCTAGACAAAGAGCTTTGCTATCTATCAGCACTTTAATTATTCCTCATTACGTTTGCTTTTGGCCTTTCCTAACTGCGCATTCATACGTCCATTCTTGGCTTTCCGCAGTATATCAGGTATATTTCTCTTCTAGAGTGGCTGTGTTTCAAATTCTAACAATTAAATGCTCTTTCAGTTCCATTCTAAGACTAAGCCTTTATTCTCTCTGCTTATTTTCTGATAATATTATTTGTACATAGATCTCAGGGTTTCTAGTTGGAATTTTCGTATTCTTATTCATTATTTGGGATCCTGGTGTGGTGCTATAGAATAAGTACTCAACTGATAACCACAAGTTTGGTGGTTCAAATCCACCAGCTGCTCCTTGGGACCCAGATACTGGGTCGCTATTAGTCAGAACTGACTCCACAACTAATAGATATATTATAGTGCTGGTGTTAGCAGGCCTGGATTCAAGTCCACACTTTCTTATTTACTAGCTGCTTGACCATAGTCAAGTTATTTAATTTCCCTAAGACATAGTTTCCTCATCTGAAAATTGTGAATCATAATAGTATCTCTTATAGAATTGCTCTAAAGATTTAAAAAGATAATGCCTCGTAAAATGCTTAGCCCAGTATTTGACTCACAGTAAGGACTTAAAAATCATTCGCTTTTGTGTGACACTATAGGATGAAAAACTGGTCAGTAGCAAATAAACACCAAAGCCTTCACTAAAATAGGCAATTTTCAACATAAAATTCTCTAAATTAAAATAAACATTCAAAATACATATGTATTAATGAATGTTAAAAGCATATTAAAGGATAGGTTTTTTTTAGCTGAACATTCTGGGAAACCAAGTAAAGCAGATAATTGTATAGTATGATAATCAAAAAAGAATGTCTTTATAAACAGTCTGAAATAGTTCCCCAGATGCAACTTGAATAAAGGAAATAAATGGTTGACTTGAGGTCAGAACAAGAATTCCTTAATATGATTCACTAGTCTTTGGAAACCCCAGCCCCACATTTTCCCACTCCCTGTTGGCTAGAAAAATTTACATTGGGGTTGAATTACACTCTTAAGGCTATTTTCTAAAGCATATTCTAAGTTTGGATATTAAATGTGTAATCTTGGGCAGTTACCAAGTTTTTCAAAAGGGTTTAAAGTTTTTGATGGGATTATTTAACATAAATTCTTGGAAGCCTGCCCACCTTCTGACTGAAAGTAGATATTTTTAGTTCCTGTATCTGGGTGGCAAATACAGCAAAAATATAAAATAGCTTTTAATTTATTTTTTATGATATTGGCTACAAGAATTCTTTGATAACTAAGGAGAATGTTTTTTATTGTTCCTTGTCCTCAAAATAAAACAAGAGTAGAATCTTTCACTTGCTTCTTCTTATAGGTATATAATATTACTCATGATTAAAATGAGTTTCCATTAATGGCTAACATTCATAATGCTAATAATTCATATGGCCCGGGACCAGGCCTTGTTTTGTTCTGTTGTACATAGGGCTATTGTGAATCAAAACTGCTTGACAGTACTGAGTAGCAGCAACAACTATATATATAATAAGTCTTTTGAGAGAACTAGAAAAAAAGAGGAGGTAACTACAAAGAGCAAAGCTATTGAGTCTATTATCAATTGGAAAATACTTGAAAGTATTGTGTTTGAAGATGGCCAATTTAATTAGACCTCAGTGCTACACATGCTGAACGAGCCCTGGTGGCATAATTGATAACTGCTTGGCTGCTGACTGAACCTAACAGCTGCTCCTTGGGAGCAAAGACCTGGCAATCTACATGGCACTCCAAAGAATGACTACTGGGAATCCCCATGGGGCTCTTCTCACAGGCCTAAAGGTTCCTGTGAGTCGGAATTTACTTGATGGCAAGCAACAACTAATGTGTTCAAAGGGCAATTTCGTATTTTCATCTTTGCCAAACATTCATTTAGGGTTTCTTTATTTCTTGAAGTTCTGAACTGCTTTTTTAAAATAGTTTTTCTTTGTTGGGTGTATAATATTTTTAAATGCATGTATATCTGTTGTTGTTAACTGCTATCGAGTTGGTTCTAACTCATAGCGACCTGTGTAGAGTTTCTGAGGAGAGGATGGTGAGTTTAAACTGCCAGCCTTGTGGTTCAAACTGAACCTGAAAGAAAGGTCTGCTGATAAATTTGTAAAATTGCAGCCACTGGAAAGCCTCTAGAATTGAGTTCTACTCTGACTCACATAAGAGTGCCATTAATTGAAAGTAACTCAGCAACTGTTTAAAAAGAAAATTATGCACATATACATATTGTGTGTGTGTGTGTGTGTGTGTGTGTAAGAGTTCTATAAAATAAAATTTTGCAGTTGATTGTAGTTTAAGAAAAACATGCTTGGGACTCAGCCTCTTTGGTGATCTTTCTATCCTCTGGTTCCAGTGCATGTACATAAATCTTGCTCTGTTACCATATCTTAGAAAATGGTGCTGATAAACATGCATACTGGTGTGGTGCTATAGGAAAATGATTGGACTGCTAACTGCAAGTATTTGTAGTTCAAACCCACCATCCCCTCCTCGGAAACCCTATACAGGTTTGCTATGAATCAAAATTGACTTGATGGCACAATGATAATAAAAAAGAAGCATATTGACTTTATTAAATGTGACAATAACTAGTTGAGCGCTGGAGTGAATGAGCATTCTCAGAAATTAGTATGCTAACTTGTGACTATGGTGTACCAAATTTTCTGATGTTTTGTTTTGTGTTACTTATTTTTGAGTTTGTGTATATTTTCAATCTTTTTATTTTAGAAAATATTGATGCTGATGGACAGGGATTTTGTCAAGGAGGATTCAGCATTGATTTTACTAAAGTAAGTTATCATTTAAGACCAAATGAGATTAATATCTGCTTGTTGTTCAAACCATGATTCAAAATGTATTGTACAGTCTTTCAGTTTCTGTAAAATCATTGCCTATTTTATGAAAACAGCTAATAAAGGTGACTCATGTAAATGAATTGGAGTCCTGGTGCGGCACTGTAAGATAAGCACTCCACTTTAAGGTTGGTTTTTACTAGCAGATCAGTGGTTCAAACTCAACAGCCATTCCTCAGAAACCCTATACAGGGTTGCTATGAGTCAGAACCGACTGGATGGAACATAACAGCAACAATAACATGTAAATTACTATTCTTTGCCTTATATAAGTCCCTCGCTTCCTAGCAGATATTGTTTATTTGAAATAAGGAGAAATCAGAATGGAAATGAAAATAAGTAGAAAATCTCTGTAATTGATAGGTAACTATTAATTTGTAGAACATTGAAGTTTTGCATTTTGAACTCAAATTGTTTTCTCAGAGAATTTTCAATGAGTGCTCTATTACCAAATTAGATTTCACTACATAAAAGCTGAGAAACATGAATTATAGCCTTCTTTTATGGGCCTACAGGCACCAAATGATACTGAAGCTATTTACTAATTGTAAGAAATCTTAAATGCGAGGCTCAATGTATTTTTAACTATAATAATTTGCTTTTCAGAATTTTTTTCTTTTCTAAAATAAGAATTTTTTTTATACTTTCAAAAGCAAATACTCTTACTTTTCTTTGTAATTTTTCATAGGTGTGTATATGGACATTTTTAGTAGTTTCTGTTGAATTGAGAAAAGACTACTATAAAAAAATATATTGATTGTTTAAAAAATCGATCTCCTTAGCACAAAGCTTTCTTAGAAAATATAAGGGTAGAAGAGTATCTTAAATTAATGAAAACAATAGAAACTATAATCCTATGATACCAAAAAGAAAATAATAAAACAATTTTTTCCTTTTTTAAAAAAGCTCATATTTCATTTTTGTTTTTTCCTAGATTGATAATTATAGTAACTCCCAGGGCTGGGTCACTGGTATTTAATTCATTCAGTTTGATATTATATTGCTCATAATTCTAACAATTAATAAAATCAGAGCTAAAGACAAAGTATATTGATAATCATTAGACTAAAAGATGCACTCTAGAACTTAAAATAGAGTTTATATTTTTAAACGACATGTCATGTTTTCTACACCCATGCCAATACACTATAATCTCAAGACTATTCTCATACTTTTCTCATACCATGAAGTCATTGCTAAAGTAACTGTTCACTTTCTTAAACCCATTAAAAAAGATGTCATTTTAAGATTTCATTAATGTGTCATTTTAAGACAACTTAGGAATATCTTTTACATTGGCATGGGTAATTGTTTGCTGCTTGAAAATGGATGTATGTTCATTTGGAGGTTAAAAATATATGTATATCTTCTAAGAATAAGAAACGGTTAAACCACTATGCTTAAAAACTAAATACCTTGTACTAGCTTGCTACAATTGTAAGAAATGCTAGCCAAGTATAATGTGTATATACAGTATACTCTGAAAAACTTACGCTATCAGTTCATTCCTGTTTAAAGCAATCAGATACTAGAATAAATTTCCCTTTACTAATAAAAGAAAGGAGTCCTGGTGTGGCGCTGTGGGTTAATGCACCAGACTGCAAAGCTGTTTGAACTGCAAGGTCGGTGGTTCAAGCTCACCGGCCGCTCCTCGGAAACCCTATACAGGGTCGCTATGGGTCAGGATTGACTCAATGGCACTTAACAACAACAACAATCAAAGACAAAAAAAAAAATCCTCTATGATTATTTCAGGAAAAAATTCCCTATATAGTCACAAGTCTAATGTGATAAAATTAAGGAATGTTCTTTTTTGCTTCTCCTTCTTCTTCTAACCCAGCAAACTTGATAATAATACTTTATATCGACTGTACAAAGCATCTGAAATGCATAGAGCTTATATATGACACAGTTTCAGAAAGTTTATGGAAAAATTCCATTATCTTTTAACTCCATATTTTCACTAATTTTTTGAAGTCCCCTTGATGATATATAGCTGTATCTCTCTGTATACAGATGTTTTTCACATATTAAGAAAATGTATTTTTTTTTTAATGTTTTATTGTGAATTGTGTGATAATCTACATGGGGGAACATCAGCTTTACATTCATTCCATCATCCATCATTTTGTTGGAATAGTTATCATCCTGTCCATGCATCCTCACCCAACCAAGGGGTGTACCCTGTAAACCTGTACCCCCCTCCCACCACAGTCCTCAGCCCCTTTCCATCTCCTGATCTCGAGCCCCCAGCCCCACCATCTCTTGACATTGCCTTCTCTGCCTCCATCCCAGGTCTCACTGCCTCTCTGGGTAGGATTCCACTCTTCGCTCTTCTCCATTGATGGTCCCAGGGTCCTCCGCACCTAGACTGATAAATTAATCACTCCCCTCTTTGTTACAAAATGTCCATCTTTAGATTTCCAACCCTCTCAATCAGTCCTGATAACAATTACTCACCACTGCATCACAAGAGACCCATCTGATTTCGTTTCATCAGCCCTTGCGGGACAGGTTGGATACCACTCACTGGAGACTCTACCTTCCTCCATGCCCTCTGGATCTAGGTTCCCTCGTGAAAGCTTGTAAACCAGTCACTTCTTACCTTTGTATCCCTCCCCCCATTTTGGGTAGCCAATGTCCAATTTGCCCATAAGAAAATGTATTTTAACTTTACTTTTTGATTTTATTGTGTTTTAGAAAAGGTGAAAACCACTAACCTCACTGTTTTAAAATAAGCATCTTTTTGTTGTTTAATTCAATGTAGGCTGACAGAGTACTTCTTGGAGGTCCTGGTAGCTTTTATTGGCAAGGTAGGTTAATGTTTTTGATGTGGTTTTTTTTTAATTACTGTGACTGACTCACCTCATTTACTATGTGCCTGGTGAGACTGTACAATTATTATTTATTTTCAGATGCAATTTAAGTATAGACAGTACCCTGATTATGAACGGTAGACTTATGTGTACAACCCATAATTATGAACTCACCCCATAAAACCTATTATATTAAAGTTTTGAGGTACACACAGTCGGTCCATAATAAAACATTGGTGCTTCTTTGTGACTTGTATGAAAACATTGTTATAATTAATACTATATTATTATGTTAAAGATGTTTTAGATATCTGGAAGCGTTTCTTTCATCTTTTTTATGCATAGAAAGATACACAGCTGACATTAAACCTAACTCTTTTGACTTACGTAAACATTTAACTTAAAGACAGACTTAGAAAATGAAAATTGTTCATATTCCTGGAATTTCTCGTATATAAATCCTATCCATTACACAATATTTTTAAAAAATGGAATATAGTATCTCATGTGTGTGTGTTTCTTTGTAAAATAAACAAAAATTTAAAAGTAAATTTATAAAATAACTGAAAAAATTGTTCACTTTATAGTTCAGTCTCTCATTTCCTTGCATGTAACTTCTTTTCCATTTTCTGTACTTTATAGAGTCCATGATGAAACCACTGAAAGTATATGGAAATAATTCCTAATAGACAAATTTTGGAATTCTGAAAGCTCATGGTTTTTAAAGTATTTTGAAGTTACTGTTTAGAATATATAGATGGTTGTTGTTGAGTGCCATTGAGTCAGTTCTGACCCATAGGGACCCTGTCCAGGGTTTCCGAGGCTGTAAATCTTTACGGGAGCAGAAAGCCTCATCTTTCTCCCACAGAGCACCTGGTAATTTCGAACTGCTGACCTTAAGGTTCGCAGTCTGATTCATAACCACTGCGCTACCAGAGCTCCTGTAAATTTTAAATGGTTATTTTCTTACAATTTCCTGACACCAGTGATACTCTTTAAATGTTTGGGACTTTTTCTTTAAGAAGAATATAAGTGTTTTTAAAATGTTTTTAAGTTGTCATTTACATGAAGATAAAACACTACTTTTTCAGTTATTGTGGCAGGCCTGATTACTACCATTTAAATAAGTTTATGACTCATTATAATTTGCTAATAACTAAAATAAGTAACTAAGCCTGTCTTGTTTGCTCATTTCTCTTTCATTTATTGTTAGAGATATACAGTTATTTATTTAGTTATTATTTTGATGTCATTTCTGTCCAAAAGTACTGACGACAAGTTGAGAACTCTATTAGCATTATTGGTATTTAAAGTACTGTCAGTATTTAGAATGTTGGAAAATAGATGACTATATTGATTTGTGATTACTTTCTAAATCTGAAGTTTACTTCTGTATTCTACACTACGATTCCCTTACGTGTATCTTTGTATGGAGACTTGGCTTGCTTTTGCTTTATAGAAAGAGAAGTTACACAAAGAGAATTGCCAAAGGAAAGAAAGTAGGGGAGAAGACAAATGTGAAAGAATGACAGATGGATATAGGTGAAAAGTTGAAAGGGAAGAGTAAACAGGAAATGAAGAAAAGAGAAAAATCAGACAAAGACATATCAGTATATGATACATACTAACTGAAATGGAAAAGTTCACATTTCTATGAATTGTATTGTTGTTGTGAAGTGCCATTGAGTCAATTCCAACCCATAGCGACTCTGTATAGGGTTTCCGAGGAGCAGCTGATGAGCTTGAACCACTGACCATGAAGTTCAGATGGCTTTGCAGTCTGGCGCATTAACCCACAGCACCACACCATGAATTGTATTGTTTTTGTTGTTGTTGTTAGGTGCCATCGAGCCGGTACCAACTCATAGCGACCTTATGCACAGCAGAACGAAACACTGCCCGATCCTGGGCCAACCTCACTATTGTTGCCACTCTTGAGTCCATCGATGCTGCCACTTGGCTAATCCATCTCGTTGGGGGTCTTCCTCTTTTTCTCTGAGCCTCCACCTTACCAAACATGATATCCTTCTCCAGAGACTGGTCCCTCCTCACAGTATGTCCGAAGTATGAGAGATGAAGTTTGGCCATCTTGGCCTCCAAGAAGCACTCTAGGTACTGGTAAATGAAAAGATGTAGGCAAAATTGAAGTTTATTGTTTTAGAATGAAAACAAAAACCAGGCATTCTAAAATGCATACGAGGGAGGAGGTAATATGAACATTTTGCAACGAAATAGGCATTTGTATTTCTTCTTCACTGCTGGGTGTGCCGTTGTATGGAGGGGAGGGAAGTATCTGATGTGCACATCTGGGAACCAAAATATTCGGACAGGGATTCTCAGTCAGGAGCTGCTGGCTAACTCTGCCTTTTAAAGAAACACAGCTGTGAACTTGTTTAAATGATTTCTTCTGTTAACACCTTGATTATTACACAAAGTCAGTGTGTATACCTCTGTATTATAAACATGTTCATTGGACTTTTATCCCAAGTGATCATCATGTATAACAAAGGAGGCCTCAGTGAATGGGCAGAGACTATTTTATTGAGATTAAAATCAGGAGGTTTCAATCTGGATAAATATGCTACACTGAATTTTTTCATAGATCTGAGAATTGCCCCTGGAAAAATAGAGAAAATTATGTTGATACTGTTTTTCTATCCAAAAGAGATGATGATTTTTCCTGTGTTCTTTGATTCAAGAAATATTTTCTGGCTTCTTATATATTTTAGGCACAGAGGACAAAGCAGTGAACCAGCCAGAGAATGTTTCTGCCCTATAGTGGTGGTGGTGTGCTGTGGAGTTGGTTCTGACTCATGCGACCCTGTATAGGGTTTCTGAGGTTGTAACTCTTGCTACAGGAGCAGAAAGCCTCATCTTTTTCTTATGGAACGGCTGTTAGTTTCGAACTGCTGACCTCAAGGTTAGCAGCCTGACTCATAACCACTATGCTACCAGAACTCTGTTTCTGCTCTATAAACTCACCCTATAAGAATGGATAAATTGGAACAGGACTGAAAACTGTAGCTACTATGAATTTCTTCCTAAAACAGCAGAAGTAGATTATTTTTGCATTGTTGTAGACTTGACATTTGATAAATAAACCTAGCTTTTTGTGGGGAGAGGGAAAAGCTGGAGAAAGAAAAATCTGATTTTTGTGGACTCATATCTATTTCTTGTCCATCTAATAATTTAAGTTGTAAAGACTAGTGAATTTGCCCATGCAGACCTCTTCATAAAGATGTCCAAATAATTAGTTTAAGAAAATCAATTGAATCAGTTGTTTTGATTATAAGATAATATTAGTTAATTGTTTCAGCAGATATTTTTTCATGTTTTAACAGAGTAGGTTCGGAAATTGCCCTTGATTTTATTATTCCATTTATATAACATTGGTTTTTAGTGAATTAAACAAATCTTGTAATCCTCAAATATCTGCTTTTTATGCAGAGACTAATTTTAAGTAAGGAGCTCTGGTAACATAGTGGTTAAAAATCTGACTGTTAACCTCAAGGTCGGCTGTTCAAAACTATCAGCTGTTCAGCGGAAGAAAGATGAGGCTTTCTGCTACCATAAAGATTTGCAGCCTCGGAAACCCTGTTCAGGGTCACTATGAGTCGGAACTGACTCCATGGTACTTAGCAACAATAACAACAATGTTAAGTACTGTCTAAATAGAAAACTTATAAGCAAAAGTAAATTATGTTTTTGTTAAGTGCCCCAGCTTAGGGCTTCCAGGGCTCCTAGTGTGGCACTAGGATAAGCACAGGACCACAAGGTCAGTTTGAATTGCAAGGTCTGTGGTTCAGACCTCCCAGCCACTCCTTGGAAATGCTATACAGGCTAACTATGAGTTGGAACTGACTTGAGGGCATTTAACAGCAACAAGCAACGATTCATTTTGTGGGAGTAGAAAGCCTCATTGTCTTCCTGTGGAGCAGCTACTGGGTTTGTATTGCTGGCCTTGGGGTTCTCAGTCCACTGCTTATCTTACAAAGCCACTGTTCTCCCACATATCAAGTTAGAGATTTTACGTTAAAAGGGAGAGTTATTTAAGGTTAATCATTAGGAATATTAATATATAATGCCCTTGTTTCCTTTCATGTGCTGCCACTCATTCTCTGCATAACCAAGTTTCTATTAGAAGGTTATAATTTACATACAACTGTATCTTTCCAGGTCAGCTCATTTCGGATCAAGTGGCAGAAATCGTATCTAAATATGACCCCAAAGTTTATAGCATCAAGTATACTAACCAGTTAGCAACTCGGACTGCACAAGCTGTTTTTGATGACAGTTATTTAGGTAAGAAAACCCAAAATATAACCCCCCCCCCCCTTTTTTAACAAAGGTATGGTATGTGTGTCCTGTATTTATACATGCTATTTATGTAGAAATATCTTATATGTAATATATTTGGATTTGAAAAAATATAATGAACTTGCGATTGCAATTTGTTATTGAGTGTTCAGTTTGTTACATTTTAATCATTTGAAATTTATGAGTGATTATTTTTATCATTGTTATAGGCAGCTAACATTTAAGATAAGATCACTCAGTTCTGGACATTGTTCTCAGGGTTTTGTCTGTTGACTGTTTCAATCCTCATAGCAAGACTATGAAAGTATTCTCTTAGGATTCCCATTTTACAGATGAGGAAACTGAAGCACAGAGTAGCAAATTAACTTGCCCTTATTATTCACTCATAACTTGCTGTTTTGAGATGCAAACCCAGGAAGCCTGACTCCTGAAGTTTTGGCTATTGTGTTAAACAGTTTTGGTCTTAAGAATTTATTATTTGTTTTTGTCTCTTTTTTATTTTTTTCTTATATGTATTAAACCAAGTCTCACACTGTAGAAATAGTACTTTACTGATTGAGAGAATGTTATTATTTGCTGCTCCTTTATGATGAATTACAAATGGACCTTCTTGTACTCATTCATTTGTATAGTTAATAAAACAGTCTTGCTTTTCTAGTTGTTGTTATGCGCTGTCCAGTCGATTCTGACTCGTAGCAACCCTGTATGGGATTTCTGAGGAGCAGCTGGTAGGTTTGACATGTCAACCTGTGGTTAGAAGTCCAGTGCTTATCCTACAGTGCCACACCAGGAATCTAGTAGAACTATTCTATTTGAATATTCCAGTCAATTATTTTCTTCATATTTTGTTTATCATATGCCTCAGTTACCCCTGGTGGTGGTGGTAATGGTGTGCCATTGAGTCAGTTCTGACTCATAGCGACCCTGTATAGGGTTTCCAAGGTTGTAAATCTTTACAGGATCAGAAAACCTTATCTTTCTCCAGTGGAACCATTGTTAGTTTCGAACTGCTGACCTTAAAATTAGCAGCCTGACTCATAAACACTAGGTTAAAATATTACATAATTGGAAGAATTTCATGAACTTCTTTTAAAGGAAAGAAGTTTACTTCTTTCAAATCTTTCAGCTGCTCCTCAGAAATCCTATACAGGGTTGCTATGAATCAGAATCGACGGAACAGCGCATAACAGCAACAACTAGAAAAGCAAGACTGTTTTATTAAGTATAGAAATGAATGCGTTAACAAAGAAATTGACTCAGCAAGTGTGCTAAAGGTTACTGCCCTGTCTTGATGGTGTGTTCCCTTTGCTTGCCTCTTTAGGTTACTCAGTGGCTGTTGGAGATTTCAATGGTGATGGCATAGACGGTATGATTCTCTTGAATGATCTTAAATATTTATTCTAATTTGTTTTTGTTTTGAAAATGTAATTAAAATGGATGAAACTTTAGTCGAACTGACCAAGAAAAAAACAAAGCAAAATGAAATGTAAATATCAGGAATGAAATAGTGGACATCACCAGAGACCCTTGAGATATTAAAAGATAAGCTGAGAATAGTATAAATAACTTGATTGAAATAAAACATCCCTTTAGTGAGATAAGTCACCAAAGATCACTGAAGAAGAAACAACTTGTATACTGAAGATCTGTGGTTGTTCACTGTTCATGAAAATATAGTTTGAAGCAAATGCAGTCAGTGCCTCTGCTTCTAAGATGTGCAGAAAATTAAATAACTCATGCAGAAATGACACCCAACTAGGTTGAAATAACTCAAAACTGAGTTACAGTTTTCTAGACTGTGTTCTCTTTATAATTCAGATGGAGTAGAAACCCCACATGAGAAACTAAGAGCCTGGGATTTTGTTGGTTCCCGCCACTACTCCTTGGATTGTCTTGACTTTGTCTCTTTAGCAGTGTAAGACTACAAAAATTCTACTTTGCATTTCAACAGTTAGCTATTTAGCTTTTAATTCTCTTATACATACAGCTTAGGCAAATATAATGAAAAGCTTGAAGTTTCTGGTATATCTTTAACATACCTCCATTCTTTCTAGGATCTTGACCCCTTTAGAATACAGAATACATTTCAGAAAAAAATTTTGAGTCTCCTATATGAGGGACAGAGGATAGTTTCTTAAAAATAGATCAGAATTCAGAATACCATATCATCATTTTCTAGTGCTAGATTCCAAGAAAAGTTCAGGTGACAATGTCTTATACATAGGAATAGATTATTCTAATTGTATATTAGTATTTAACCCAACTGCAAGAATAACCTAGTCTAATTGTTCTTAGAAGGAGTAGTCGTTTGTTGCAAGTAACTCCATCTTTGTTTATTTTGTTGTTCAGTGCTGTCAAATTTGTTCTGACTCGTGTTGCTGTTTTTGTATTTTTTTTTTCCTGTTATTTATTTATTTATTTTTTGATGTACACCAAAACACTCAGGGATATACAATCATCCAAACAACAAAAGTACTTACCCTACAAGCCTGCCCCCCGGCTGCCAGCACACAGCCCCTCTCCCTCCATGAGTCTACAGTCCCCAGCCACTCCATCTCTCCACATCCTCATCTCTAGCATTGCTGCTTCTCTGAATAGGGTCCCACACTCCGTTTCTGCTCTTCTCCCTTGATGGTTCCCGGGGTCCTCTGCTCCTGGACTGCAAGATCAACCACTCCTCTTTTTTTTTCTACAAAACCTCTACCTTTACAGTTGTGACAATCATAATCAGTCATGATAACAGTTACTCACTATTGAATTATAAGTCATATCCCCATCTCCATTCACTAGCCCCATCTAGACACAATGAAAATCACTTAGTGGGGATTCTACCTTCCCCCGACACCTTTGAAACTAAACTCCTTCTAGAAAACTTGTAAGCCAGTCACTTCGTGCCTTTATACCCACCCCACCCCCACCTCTCATCCCGTTTTAGGTAACAAATCTCTAAGTTGCCTTTCAACCCTGTGTACAGAGGTGATGGGAATGATTCTTGTTGTGAAGATCCTTCCCTCTTGGTTGGGATTTTAAGTTATGCTACACCCATAAGTATAGGTCAAGTTCATCAAGTTGTAGCGATTTACATTTGTTTTCTTTATCAAAACAATTTTTTTTAAATCTTCCTCTAGTCGAGTTCTGATCATCCAGCCATTGAAGCTAGGTCAGATGGGTACTATCTGCAAGTTTGGGCATTGTTGTGCATCTGTCCTCACTTCATATCAGCTGGATGCTGAACTCTCCACTCTAGTCCTCTGTGGCTATATCTGTCTATGGCCTTAGGAGTCCCCAGTTCTCACCATACTGCTGGCCAACCAGGTCTCACCATACTCCAGGTTGACGGGAGTTTATGTAACGTGGTCGGACTCAGGTCACATGATGCTTTTCCTCCACTTCCACTCATCAGTAGACCAGTGTGGTCACCAGCAAGATTGTGCCTGCTTATGTATTCCCTTTGAGTTTCAGTCTTGGATGGGGGTTTGCCCGGAAGGGACTTGATTGCTTGTCTTGATCAAGCCTCCCTGGTGGACAACTTACTTGTTCTTGTGGTAGGCAATCAGACTGCTATTTTTGTTTTGGTTTTTCCTACTGGTCTTTCTTTGAAGAAGTATCTTTTGTTCCTCTAGCTGTTCCAGGCTGGTTTGCTTGTCTTTTCAGGTGGAAATTTCCCTCCTCATAAGATTCTAGATGGAATCAGGATTCCACCTAAGGTCTTATACACTACAAAAGCTCCACAGCAAGCTTCTTTCACTGGGCAAGTTCTAACCCCATTTTAGGTATTCCAATCAGTTATAGGCTGAAGATGGACTTACAAGCTTTCTCTAGTAATGTTTCTGGCTATTTCTTTCCCTCCCCCTCAACTGTCTATTTTACAAGGGAAACCAAGATTCATAAGACAGTGAAGCATCTTAACATTATTTTCCTTCTTTTACCCATTCAGACTATGCCTCAATCCGTATATCACAGAGCCCTGTTGTTCCAAGGTTGAACATACATCTCTATTACCTCTGTCCCATTTAGCCCATGCAAACCTGCTTAAATGTTCTCCTACTACTACCTTGTTTTTCCATCAACCTCCCCTTCTTATGTATTGCCCCCCCAACACCCAAACTATCGTGTGTCTATCCCCTACTACCACTCCCTCCATCGCCTCCCCCAGTAAGCAGCAAAGAAATTTTCCTTTTTTCCCCTTTTAGTGTGAGTATCTTTTCTTAGGCTTTTACAATAATGGTCTTATGCAATATTTGTCCTTTGTGATAAATTTCACTCAGCATAATGTCCTCCTCAAGGTTCATCCATGTTATGTGGTGGCTTACAACTTCCTTTTTGTTCTTCAAGGTAGCATAATATTCCATTGTGCAGATGTACCAAAGTTTGTTTACCCATTCTTCCATTGATGGGCACTTAGGCTGTCTCCATCTTTTTGCTATTGTGAATAGTGCTGCTGTGAACATTGGTGGTATGCATATATCTACTGGTCTTCTAGCTCGTATTTCTTGTGAATACCAAGTAAAGGAATTGCTAGATCATAAGGTATTTCTATTTCCAGCTTTCTGAGGCGGTGCCATACTGTCTTCTGTAGTGGTTGGACCAGTTTGCAATCCTACCAGCAATGTTGGATGGTCCCGGCATCTCCACATCCTCGCCAGCATTTATTATCTTTTACTTTTTGAACTTCACTGTTACTGTGAAATATGGTGTCTCATTGTTGTTTTGATTTGCATCTCTCTAATGGCTAATGATTGTGAACATTCTTCATATGTTTGGTGAAGTGTCTGTTCATGTCCTGTGTCCAGTTTTTAACTGGGTTGTTTGTCTTTTTCTTGTAGAGGTGTTGTAGTTTCCTATATATTTTAGAAATGAGTCCCTTGGCTGATATTTCATTGCACAAGATTTTTACCCATTCTGTGGGCTCCCTTTTTTTAAAAGTTTTTTGATGCACATAAGTGTCTAATTTTTAGTATATCTATTCTCAATTTTAATTTCAATGCCTGAAACATATTCCACTGCATTGTTTTGAAACTATTGTTATGGAATATAATTTGAGAAAGTAAGCGACTGCAGTGCATTGAGAGGACTCTGAGCTCAGTCGATGTTCACCTCCCTCTAGTGGTCATTGAAATTAAGGCAGCTGTTTGCCTCAATCTCTTCACATCTCCAGCTCCATTCCAGTCCCTAACACTTCCTTCCAGTTATCCCTCTAGCCTCTTCCTTCTTGCATTCAGTACATTTTACTCCTCCTGGAGAGACTTCATTTCTTCTTTCTCGAGGCATAATTTGTAATCTTCTGTCTCTAGGGCTGTGTCTTTAATGCCATTATCTCCGCCTCCCTAAGTCTTATAAACCTTCAGACTCAAGGTAGGAGTGATGGATTAACAGTTCTGTGCCACTGTCCCCATCCTCCATCATCCAGTTTACTCTTTTTAATTTTTACATAGCGTAAGTATAGTTTTTCTTTATGCTTGTTGTTATTAAGTGCCGTCGAGTTGGTTCCCACCCGTAGTGACCCTGTACAG